TTAGAAATTTACGTTATTGTGTAAGATATTTTATTAAATTTAAAGTACTATAATCTCCACTCTTAAATTGACTATCTCACCTACGTACCAACTAATTGTCATAAAGCTTAAGACTCATACTTAAAGCGAAATCAACTAATTCAACTAATGGTTATGATATTTTCATAATAACTAAACTTTTATATACCAACCAATTCTAGATGACGATAAGAACTAAAGATAAAATCAAACTATAAGCGAAATCAATATTCTAATCTAATCAAAATTAAGAAAATTATCTAAAATAACGAAAACACATTTTTACAGCCCTAAACGATGGAAATGGACCATTTTCACTCGAGTTGGACACGTAAATCTCTGAAAACGGACACTTCAAAAATTTCATGTTTTCTACCCGATCTCACTTTTACATGAACTCTTCTTCTCTTTGCATTGCATGAGTTGCCAATTACTTTTTCAGCCTTTAAATCCTCAAACTTTTATTCTGTTTGCATAATGAGTTAATACAGTCATTTTTTTTTCTTGTGAAACTGAGTTTCATATCACTTAACGTGATGTGATTAAAAGTCGTCAACTTATTTTAAATTATAAATTTAAGTTCTCACATGAAGGAAATCATGACATTAAAATCACATAGACATAAATCATGAACAATATAATTTTAAGTGATTTGGTATTTTTGCCCTCCAATTTTAAATTACGTGAAAGTCATGTGCGATTTTCAAATCCATATTGATGATTTCCATTCCGTCAAAAAAAAAAAAAAAATTAGATTTTTAGATTTAAATATGTTGAAAATCCGTAACGACAACACATAAAAAGTTGAGGAGTTCATTCCTATCTTCCGCGAAATCAATTGATCATAGAAAAAAAATAATAAATTAAATTAGTAACTGTCGTACATCCGTACTCTCTTCTTCATATACCGTCCCAGTTTCGTTGGGATTAAAATGAAATTTTTTAGTATATTTTTATAAAAAGTCGATGAAATGTGCAACTGAAAAGTCGTGTATCTCATAAAATATATAGTTAAAATTAATTGTTGACTTTGACTTCCACCAAATAGGACATCTATATTTTCAAATATCAAACTATAACAACAGAGAAACGACAAATTCCACGTCAATAATCTTTACGAAAAATGGAGTAACAAAATGCTCGAGATCGAGGTCGAGAGAATGAATGGGGGGCCAATTAATTGACATGAAGAAAGTGTCATCTAGCTAAAATGACATGGCCCTAGAGATTTCGAAGCATCAATATGAAAATAACCTTCATTTGGACGCACCTTATATAAGTGACAGTGAACAAGATAATAATTAGCCTTATGTCTCCATCTCTGCCTCCAGCCCTAACATGTACAGGTGTGACTATTAATATGTATACGTAGCTCATCTCTTCATCGTAAATATTATTAATTTATATTATCAAATGTTCATTTTTCAGAGTACAAATACAGACAATAAGATCATAATTTTGTCTGCTCTATGAGTCCACTGCAAAGGGTATGTTCTTGATCCGAGGATATTTATACATTTAATTTAGGGAAAATTGCACCCAAGGTACCAAACATTTAAAAAACTCACATCCGAATTCCAAATTGACAGAAACCAATACTTTGACCATTAGTTGACCAAAAATCAAAGATCTAACCAATTGTTGACTAATTTTTAAAGACAAATGACTAACTTTACATTCTTAATATAAAAAAAATTAAAATAAAAGATTTACAAAAAAACCAATCATCTTCTCCACTCACCCCAACCCCCCTACCAAAACCCAGTTCACAAAAGTAAATGAACAAAACTTTCGGTCACCACCACTAGGAGCAAGCTCTGACACCATTGTCTCCGGTGACGATGAACTTGACGGCGAAGACGACATAGATTCCCTCAGCACCAAACTACTAGGAGCAGGCTCTAACGCCATTGTCATTTGCATCAGCGTTGGAGCCATCTGAATCTCGATCAAGTCTGGCGACTTGAACATCGAATTTCTCGAGCTCAAACTAAGCGCCGGAGAAACGCTCAACGACATGGATCTAACTGGAGATGCGGACCCGGAAACAGTTACCAATGAAGAGTAAGTGGACAAAGAATTTGAAGTAGACCCGTTAAAATTCCCCACCTCTACAGCTGCAAAAGCCCTCCTAGAAGTCGATCTAGTACCAATAGAGCTTTCGCTGCCATTTAACTTGGGAGAGTAAAACTCCGGATCTTTCTCATCTTTACTAGAAGTCGCCTCCGCGTTTCTGTAATTATGTCGGAAATTGTGCGTTTTCAATGGTGGCAACGTGTACCTCCGACGAGTCCAACTTTCACGAATTTGAAGTGTTACTATCACTGGCTCTGCTTCCATTGTAAACATTGCTTGAATCAATAACACTTCCGCTATGTGAATTAACCAAAGTACCCAAGTCGAGAAACTCTGAAATAGATTGCGATGTCCTCTGGAGCTTCGTGATATGATTGTTATTCGCAGTGTTCTAAAATGCGCCGCCTAGGCGCGATGCGAGTAGAAAACGCGTCAAATTGGGCAATGCGCGTAAAAATGCGGTCAACAGTTTTTGTTGACCGCCTAGGCGTCTCAATGCGCGTATCAGGCGAGCCTATGCGCGCATTAAGACGCCAAATTTTTTTTTTATATGATATAAAAAATTGTTTTTTTAATATAAAAATGTATTTATTATATTAAAATAATATTAAAAGTACGAAACGCATTATGACGCCTATTCTTCGCATTGACAGGTTTAAACTTGTGATTCTTGATTCTCGACCTCAACGCATCGCAACCCGTTACGCATTTTAGAACACTGGTTATTCGACGATTTATTAAATCGAGCATTGACGTAATTATCATATCGTTAGGGGGTGGGGATGTCAGGGTGAGTGGAGAAGATGATTGAGTTTTTTTTTAATTTATTTTAAATTTTTTATATGAAAAATTTAAAGTTACCCATTTGCCTTTTAAAAATTAGTCAACAATTGCTCAGATCTTTGATTTTAGGTCAACTAATAGTTAAAGTAACGGTATGTGTCAATTTGGACTCTGGGTGCGAGTTTTTTAAATGTTTGGTATCATGGTTGACACAAATGAAAAATTTGGATAAAGTCTGCAACTAAATAAAAGATTTGGTACCGTGATTGTAATTTTTCCTTTAATTTATTTAATTTTTGAATTAAACGCTCTTTTATATTTTTGAGTCGAATCTTTATATGGAAAAATTAGTATTGGGCTCTTTAATCTTTCAATAAGTTTGTTGATGGCTTGAAGCGGTTCCGGGTCTTCTCACTTATTTAAATATATGAATATGTATTCTCACATTATTGAAATCATCAATATGAATGTTAAAATCCACGCGACTTTAAACTGGAGGGCAAAACCGTTAAATATTAACATGAGGACCCAAATTCACTAATTAATCGTCATTTTGACATGCAATTTTAACGTCAACATTGGTAGCTTCCATCACGCGAAAATTTATTTTTACAGAATTAAATAGATTAGGAACTAGACGTCTCAATTTTAAAATAATAATTCAAAACTATCTCGTGCTGTTTGAGTCCCCTACTAATGGTATGTTCTTGAATCTTGATCCGATGATATTTATGACTTCATTTGGTAAAACATTATTTTATATTTTATTTTCACAATTTTACAAATAGCAAGGTGTAACTATAGAGTACAACATTATACGATAAGTCAGGATTTACTAATTTTTACAGCGGTAAAATTTTAACTCAAAAGTCAAAAACAGATATTATTCGTGCTGCACAAAAACCAAAATTTTCATACCCAGTGGCTACGATGCCTTTATAAAGCACAGCTTGAGTTTTTCTTTTTTGTCTGTTATACTCATTCTGTTACTATAATTTTGACTTTTAGCCTGTCCGGTTTAACTTTTAAAAATTAATAAAAATTTAAATTAAACTCAATAATACATTTTATAAGATTATTATTATTATTATTATTACTTTTTTTTTTTACCAATTTTTCGACCGCATGTTGTCTTAACTTTCATCAAAATTTGTTAAAAATATGATTTTTACCTAAATTAAATAGGGATCTAATATTATTTATGTTTTACAATTTTTTCAAAATAAATTTCGCTACTGATACATCACTAAATCCATTGGGGATACAAAACAATGCATTGGCGAGCTCACGGATGAGTTATTCAAACTTTCATACAGAGATTATTATTTCCATATTTAGTCGATATATGATTTATCCTTTCATATATCATATCAATCTTAGAATTCGATAGCTTATTTGAACGTTAGACGGATCGAATTACTCGTTTGAGTTTAATGATCTCTGACACCATATTCTAATTTGAGATTTCATTTTAAAATATCGACCCTATTAAAAACATATGTCCAAACTCTTATATTTTGACTATTATATTCATATTTAGCTGAGATTTATTCTTTTATATTTACGTGTTTTATTTAGAATGGCCACGTGATTTATTCCTTAACAATTACTAATATATCATAACATCTTAAATGTGTCTATGAGGAATTCAACAAAGACCACCAAAGAAATACATTTGACATTAGTAGAGATGTAAACGAGTCGCGCCTAGCAGGTTCGAGAGCTGAAGATTATGACTTGGGTGCGGCTCAATCAAAAAACGGCTGCTTTTTTGGCCCGATCCGAACTAAAACTTGATCAAAAACTGAGGCTAGGCTCAAGTTTTAGGCTTGCACCTTATCGAGTCAAGTCGGATCGATTTTTTTTCCTTTTTTTAATTAAGATAGGTCGTAGGCAGGCAAGCAGTCGGATTTGTGACACAAGCCGACTCGAGCCCCGTCAGTTGAAAAAGAGGCTTGGCCCGAGCCGAGGCTCAGTTCCATCAAGCCGTGAGCTGAGACAGCTAGGGCTTTTTACGAGCTAAGCTGTGAGCCGTATTTACATCCCTAGATATTAGTAACAGATTTAGCAAGGAAAAGAATGAATTAAATCAAACAATGTTAATTACGCAACTCATAATAGTTTTTTTTTGTTCTAAATGAATACCTGAACTATTTTTGTTTCATTTAATTCGCAAAGGAAAAATGAAAGTAGCGAGGGAAAATCCTTAGCTAAAATTCCTAATTTCTTTAAATTTACTGCTTAACATTTTGATTAACGATGATGGAAATAGCAGAAAAATGAGTATTGAAATTAGCTAGGAATTTCTAGACCCTCTTTGTAATCCATAATGATTTAAATTAATTTTCTATTTCATAATTAAATGATATAACACGTCCCTCGTAAAAGTTAATTATAAATTATTTTGCAAATATAATTTTTTCATTTATAATAGTAACAAACTTATATAATTTACGATAACTTTTTTTATTATTAAATTTCAGATTAGTTGATTACTAATTTCACTAACTTATATTTCTATGAATTTTACTCCCTTGCATAGTTAGTCTTTAACGAACTCTGGATTAAATGCCCATATGCATAATAAAATTTATCAATTATCATATACAACAAGTTCAAACAATTGAATTGGTATTTAATTTTTTCTATGTATATAAAGATTGATGAACACCGTCAACTAAGAGGCGAAAACACGTGACACGTAATTTATGAATCCATACACATTATTGTAGAATTAGTGACGAATATATCAATTGCTAAGCGAATTGTACACTAATAATATGCATCGTTTAATTTTTTAAGCAATGAATTGCAATGTTCGAAATCTAACCTTATTGTAGTCCTAAATAAAAGTCTTTGTCCCACTAAAAATCATTGTTGCCTTTAAAGATCTAGTCTCCTTACGGGGAAAATGTGAAAAAATGGGTCGATCGACGCACCAGTCGATCCATGATTAAAGAAGAAACATAAATTAAAATCTTATTATTATTTTTGACTTGTTGTCACCGTCAAATTGTCGATAAAGCGCGATCAACGTATTTCCGCCTACTTTATTGAAATTACAAGTGGTAATACACTTGACACTTATCCCTGGCTAGTTGAACGAGTGTATCACAGCCATATGCCCATGGCTGTGGGCCTGAAAATTCTCGGATCCCTTATGAAAACGAAAAGACAGAGCTTGCCAATATTGCTACATTAAATTTTATTTGCTTCCATTTGAGGGATAAACTCTTCCTTTTTTTCTATGCATGTGATGCTTGTCATCATTGTTTCTTCATGTGATCACAATAGTAAATTTTTTATTTTTTATTTTTTTGTGCAGAACCCAAAAGTCTTGGCCTTGCCTTATTTGGTAGTCAAGTAGTTACTAATTTTGGTTAAGCTAAGGAATTCTGCAGTCTCTATCTTTTTGTGTTGGTGTATGAGACATAATTAGTGGTCATGTTTGGTGCGTAGTTTTAGACAAAATGACTCAATAATATCCAAGTTATCACACTCCAATTGTATTGTGTGTCTCGATTAGGATCACTTTGATCTCGCTATTTGAAGGAAATTTTGAAAATTTACTATTGTACCCAAAATTCGAGAAGTCCATAGCTTCATTCCGTCTTTATCTAAAATCGTCCCTAGTATATTATTTTGAGCTTTGGTAGAAAGGCAGAGCCTCGTTTGCACCCATCACCTTTATTGTAGACTGTGGAATAACCTCTTTTAGTACCTTCAATATCCAATCTCGTTTAGCTTAAAGTAATTCTCAATTAATTGCTAGTTCACATTTTTGTACAATAACTCTCTAGAACTAAACCAAGGTCAATGTTGAGGGATTGCTCAATTGGTCAGACATTGGATTTGCTCCTCAATGGTCACCAATTTGAGTCTCCTTAGGGCTATTGAGGTGAGTACCCGACCGTAAACTTCAGGGCCCCGTGAGAATAGTCGAGGTGCGTGCAAGTTGGCCCGGATATCCACGGTTATCCAAAAAAAAAAAAAAGGAAGTAAACCAAGGTCAACCTTCTCCAATGATGCTCTAAAACCACATTCTACATCTTGCTCAGGTTCATTAAGAGCCCGAAACCTCGTTATTCTTGCTCAGACTTTCATTGACTTGGTTGACCTAGCCAAACCTCTAATTGATTAGCTTTCCGATCCTTCGAGCTATATGTACAAGTAATTTACACAAGGACCATCTTTTGATATTTTAACTGCAGGATCACAAAAAACTAATTACAACTGGGAAACCCAAAAAATTCAAAAATATTATGAGGATGGGTGTGGGGAAGAGGTTGCTGTCCCTTTGCCTGCAAAAGCATTCAATGTTTTTTGGCAATACTAAGGTATGAATATACGATTCTGCAAATTTATTCTGAAATATACCTTTGACAGACACACACAAAAGCTTCATTAGCTGTACTGATAGAACATTTTGCATATGATCCATGGAGGATCACGAAGGTGGTAGGATTTTCTCTATGGGGTCATTTTACTTCAAGGCCTGTCCGATTGGATTGGATTATAGATATTAATTATAAGTTAAGCGAAAATAGATGAAATAGTATCAGCATAAGATTACTATATAAAATCAGGCTTGTTTGGCATAACGATTTGACTAGACTAGACTAGACAGTACAATGTATAATATTTAGTATTTTTCTTCTCATTTGTAATACTGTCTAGTGAGTCGAGTAAACGTTTCCAAACACGACACTAGAATTTATTAAGATGGAAACTTTTAGAGATAGGGTTCTGTCGTATGGTCGTGTGGTAGCATTCTGCTCCTTCCTTTTGATTTGTCCCTTATAAGTTCTTTGCTTGGTTGTCATGAAGTCACGTGAATGTCTAGGCCCGCCCCCTCCCTTCCTCAATTGCCTTTTAAAACACCATTTGATCTCTGTTCATTAGGCCCTTTTACACAACGTTACCAGTTTCTGTACACTTCCCTCTTCACTCAATCTCAAACCTATATATAATTCTTTCATTGGATCATATAATCAAGAAAAACTGTTCATTTATTCGTCCCGCCCCGCCCCTCCTCACGAAGAAAAATCAGTCCAAATGACTCCAATGAACCTCAACTCATCACCTTTTATTCTTGAGCGAAATGAAGAACACGATGATCAACACCCCCTGCAGTTTGGTGTAAACCATCATATTGCTTCATCATCTTCACTCTCATGCCATTATTTCTTCAATTCAACTCAAGATCCCACGGGATACTATCGCCATGAATTATACCAACCTCAGCAGCATCAAGAGGTACATAGTTTTTTTTCGTTTTTCCCATTAAGTAACAAGTTATCTACTCATATTAATGATCCCTTGGATCGTTTTCGTTAATTCGATCATGGGATGATAGTTATGCTTATAGTTTTATTGAGTATCAATTATCTAATCTTATTGTACTAATGATCCCGTGAACGCTTTTGTTATTTTGATTGCAGGATGAACATTACGCCTATGGCAGTGGATCATACGATGTTGAGAATAAAGTTGACACTGGTCTTAAATTAACTCTGTGGAAGAAAGTAAATCCATCTGAAAGTGTATCGGAGATCAATAATAATAATCCAGTTAAGTGGATGTCGTCGAAGATGAGATTGATGCACAAGACGAAGAATTCGGATCGCGTTGCTCTAAAAATAACTAGTAGTGGTACAACAAAGTATGAAAATCATCAGAAGCAGCCATCCTCTTCTTTGGAAACTGATTTAAGCAGCAACAGTACTTCAAACAATAATAGCCCAATTAGGGTTTGTGCTGATTGCAACACAACCAAGACCCCCCTTTGGAGAAGTGGTCCCAAAGGCCCTAAGGTATAACTTTTTCCAAATTTCTAATTCCATGTTCGGAAAGTTAGAGTGGCATTCTTAAATATAAATTACTAATTCTCTATTTTGTCTGTTTTTCTTATCTTTTTGTAGTCTCTTTGCAACGCCTGTGGAATTAGGCAAAGAAAGGCCAGACGAGCAATGGCTGCAGCAGCAGCTGCAGATGCTAATGGGACAGCCATTACGACTGAAGTATCGCCAATGAAGATCAAGGTGCACTACAAAGACAAGACTGGCAAAAGTGAACATGCTGCACAACTCAAGAAGCGTAGCAAAATCACTGCTGGACCATCCAATGATAAGAAGAAACTTGGCCTCGAGGATTTCTTGATAAATTTGAGCAAGAATTTGGCCTCAAATCGAGTATTTCCACAAGATGAGAAGGACGCTGCGATCCTGCTAATGGCTTTATCTTCTGGTCTTGTCCATGGTTGATTCAATTTCTACATAAAAAATGGGCGTGTTTTCTTGATTTAGCTAGATGCACTAGGATTAATTAGTACTAGAAGCACAAACGTGTGAGAGTGAGTGAGATTATATTTTCATAATTTAATAAGAAAAGCATAATAAATTTGTATTGCAATATCTTGTAAACCTTTTGACAGATTTGAACAAGTTGATAACTTGGATCTCTTGTTTAATATCCATCAGCTAATGGTATTGAACCCAATTAATCAAGCAATAAAACCTTTTTCTTCCTTACAATTATTTGTCATATGCATAAGTAACTTAATCTTTTTTCATTTTTGATGAATATATAAAGGTTACATTCATTTCCTTAATTGACAAGTTCAAGCTTTAGTATTAGGATTATATTTATTTTAGTTACATTTTCACTAAAGTTGATAATTAAATAAGTATGTGTTACACATCGAGGGCCCCTTCTTCCTCTCCTCCTTCGAACATGGATTTGTGTTCGAGGGCTCGTATCGAGTCAATGAAAAACAATAATATTCAAATGAAAATCTCCTCATCCAATCAGGATATCTCAGAATAAAACCTTCTTATGGCTAAGATTAATCAGAACAATGGGACACATATGGAATAAGAAAGATATGAATCAAAATTTCTTAATTCTTTCACTGAAGAGAGACAATTTCAACAAACGAAATGATAAATACTTGGCAATATGGATGATATAATAGCTGCAGTTTTATCTATTGATTATAGGCCTGTTTGTTTAACTAAAAATTGATAAAAATTTAAGTCAAAATTCATAATTAATTTTAATCAAAAATTTTATGGGACCCACAACTTTCATTAATTTTTCAGTCGTACATTTATCAAAATTTACTAAAAACAAAACCAAACATGGGCATACATAATGCTAGGGTTTAGATTTTATAAGAAAAAAAAATGACAACTTTCCTATTTAAACGTCAATTATACTTTTTTTTTTTGTTGACAATGAGTAAATATTACGGATCTTTTACGCAATTAAATTGTGGTACGGTCATTAAAAAAATGTAATTTGAATATATTTAGACAATGTTTGAACTTAATTTTTGAATTAGATTTTGTAAAAGTTATTTTTTTTTTTTTGGAAAACATGTGGTTAAAAAGTTAAGAAAAGATTTGAATTTACATGTAAAATTATGTTTTTAGAGAATGTGTAGTTGAAAATAATTATAAAAAAATAAATAAAAAATAGGCTCAAATAGAGACTTGGCCTTTTGCTAATTTCCAAAAAATAAAACGGGCATTTTTGCATTGGCATTCTGCGGTATTTCTCGACAAATATTATGGGAGAAAATGAGTTGACAATATAAAGCCGTCTATCTTGTTTGTAGTACATCAATCATGATTGTCATGATTGGATTTTTTTAAAAATAAAAATAAATAAAATAAACAGCTAGATAATTGGATCTCTGCTAGATATTTCATTCACAAAAAGGTAACGGAATAAATGTTACGTTCTCGATTCCACTTTTGCCTCGTTGTTCGTATTTCAATCTTTAATATTTGATTACTTTGAAATTCTTCGTGCTTCTAACCTTTAAATCTTCTTTGATATTCTTTCTAGAATATGACTACACTCGTATATGGTCATCGAATCCAAAACCCCAAGACAAGCCAAACGACCAAAAGAATAAGCATGATTAAGCAACTAATTAATTTGATATTCATTTAAAGAGATTAGTACAATAAGTTAAGCAATAACAGCATGACACACTAAAATGATCATTTAATTTTTAGATCTACTATGAAATTATTCATCAATTGATTGATGTATCATGTTCCTGCGATAAGCAACGATTCTTAACAGATCAAATACGGTAAAACTATGATTTTTGGACACATAACCTAACATGTCAATTCACTAGCTATATTGTTTTTCAAGAGTTGTCTGAAAACGTTTAAATTTATAATGATTTGGGTTCAGTGGACGCTTTTTGTCTAATAGTCTTAATTACTATTATTATTTTTTTAATTAAAGACTATTAACCCCGACAATGGCCGCCGCACCAACTCTACCTCCAAATTGTCCATCCACATTGTTTAATACATCAACCGTGTTGCTTATAGATAAAGTAGTTTTAATCGCTACACTACATTATGCATCAAATTCTATATATTGATGCAGTCGAAAGCTCGAAAAGTGAATTTAATATGTAGTGTCATCATTCGCTGCTGGAATCGAAATATCGACAAGAATGGGGTCACAATTTTGACTAGTATAACTTAACAGGTCAGACTCTCTTCCTAGCAATACTCATGTGCTTCACTCTAACCACTTAGTCTGTTCGATGTCTTTTCACGACTTGTGATTTAGTAACACAGAAGAAAAAATGACACCGAGACTTTGCCACCTAATGGTGAATACCCGGGTACAAACCAAATTGAAACATTCATGATCTGAATTGGTAGTTGAGACTTTATTGGGTATTTGACCTTTTAGCATTTTCTGAAGGCTTCAAAGTAAGTCACTTCAAAATCTCAAGTTACACGAGGAAGAATCTTTTAATAAGAGACTACTACAAGAACGATCCCCAAAATACATTGATTTACGAAGAATACCACGAATTTGGGAATCAATAATTCGTTCATTCATTCACGATACCGAATAATTATTTAATTAACAAACTCGTTGAATCAAAACCTAATTACCAAGATTGGATCGAAAAATTGTAGAGAGTTCTCACAATTTTATTAGAACGATCCCAAAAATACTTTAATTCACAAAGAATACCATGAATTTAGGAATCAATAATTCGTTCACTCGTGCACAACACCAAATAATTAATTTAATTAACAAACTTGTTGAATCAAAACCTGAATACCAAGATTGGATCCAAGAATTATAGAAAGCTCTCACAATTTTAATAACTTTTTAATAAAAACAAATGATTTACTTGAAATAATCAAAACCAAACTTGGAGACTTTGGACTCGGAGACGTAAGGATGGAAGATGTGTGGAAACAAGTGAAGAGGTCGGACTTTCAATTAATATTGGACTCCATTACTCTCTGAATCCATTCTTAAATGTCATATGGACACCAAAAAGAAGAAAAGCACCACAGGCTCACTTAGTGTGGTGGACACCGGCGACCGGGTGGGTGAAACTTAACGTGGATGGGAACTGTAGGGGAAACCACCCTGGTACTTGCATTTCTATTTGGGAATTTGGACCCTTCAACAGACATAATAATGGGCTTCAAAAAAACAACACATGTATCATGCCTAGGATTAGATTCTTACTAATTATTGCTGGCCTTTTAACCTAAAACATTCGTGTCAGAATGATGATGATTGTAAACTTAGGTACCTTTTTTAATATATTATCTTGAATATAATAGGAAAATTTTTAATTTTTTTTTTGTTGCTATTTTTCAATTTATCTTATCAAACATATTCGACCATAAAACTACATTGCTATCTTCTACGTTATTTCTTAGTTTCACTACCCAATTATGTGAGCATCTTCTTAAACGGAAATTGGAAAGAATAAATAAGAGAAACACGCACTATAATGAAGACTTTTCGACTCTATACCAATATATTGTCGTCCTTTGAAAGGGTATTGACGAATCTATGTATCATTATTAGTAAACAATTTTAAAAATTTTCAGGATTTAATAGAATTTTTAAATGAACCAAAAATATTTTTATAAGAAACTCCTATTAGGTTAATGGTAAAAGTTGTAGGCCATGAAACAAAAAAAAAAAGGCAGTTGAATTGACTGTGTGGGTGAATTCCTCCTGCTCCAATCCAAATCACTATAAATATTCTATGACTTCACACCATTGTTCTTTATAACATTGTTTCGCGCGGGTTGTCGTTAACAATTAGAAAATGTTCAGACGATTGTGTAAGGAACAGACCTCTTGAGACAAAGTCCCCAAACAGGGGTATTTTATTGGCGAAGATTTACAATCGGAAATAAACAGAATACCTCCAAGGGGCGCAATCACACGAGTACTAAAAGAAGTGTTTTAAAGTTAAACTAAGAAATTGAAATTACATATTTTCTGTTGAGAGTGTTTGATTCAGGGTCTTTTCCTCTATATCTTCTCTTTCTTTTTATATTCCCTTGATAATTTTTTCGTGACATACTGCTTGGAAACTGTTTGATTGTTCTATAACTACCCACTTTCTTCATGATGGCTGACTTGTCGTGAAACTGCCGTCTCTAACTGTTGCCATTACTCTTGTCGTTCAACCGCCTACAATTGAGATCATTGGATCGTGGGGTATGATAAGATTGCTCAATAGCTGCTGTTCTGAATAACCATAATATCTCATGTTTACTAAGATCCTGGGCGATTCGAAGGTTTGGGAGAGAACATGCTTATTCGTTCTGGCCGACCGTAAGGCACTCCATTCGCTCAGATTCTGGGCGTCTTGCAAGTTTGGACGATGATATTACTTTGTTTTTGGGCCTCCATTGCACTCATCAATGGTCCATTTTGGGCCTTTATCCTGGTCTTCTAAATTGGGATTCATTCCTTGGACTATTTAATTTGGGCTACACATTTTGTATGTCAACAATTACCCCCCACTATGACAGAATTAATATCAATTATTAATTTTTGCCATATTCTTCCTTTATATTTTTCGACAATATTTGAAATTTCCAAGAATCTCAATCATTATTTCCTTCTATAGCCTGAAAAGGTGCAACGTTACAAACCCATATAAATCCAAAAGGCACGCCATTTCATCGCACCACTAAACTACGTCTCTATATTCACTTTTCCTTCTCATTATTTACTGTTCATCGTCTTACTTCTCTGCTACGTTTCTTAGACAAATCTCATAAAAACTGTACTTTACATCCAATGGCGACTTCACAAACTCATTCCAATGATTCTTTCAATTTCGAAGATTTTCGAAACCTCCTTACCAGACCGTATATAAGTTCAAACTTCCTAGCACAAGCCAATGCTAACCTCGATGAATTCTATCTAAGCCTATCATTCAATGATGCTGAAC